ATTGTCTTGATTGCCTAGGCAAGCAGGTCTCAATTTTTTTCTCTAGTGTTTTTCTAGGACTTCCTAACTGCTTTAAAGGATGTTTACTACTTAATACAATTAAAATTTTTAAATTAATACCCTTGTATTTATGGGACAGCTGCCCAGTATTAACATCTGAATCCAATCTGGGGTCTCTGAGGTGGGATTCGGTCAGCACAACAGGTAAGAAGTAAGTATCTACCCACCTCTATTATAGCAGATTCTGGTGTCTTGAATCCTGAGTTGGTTTTCTCACTCCAGCTCTATCTGCCTTATATGCTTATGGATATTTCTCTGAAGTTCTGGTGTTAGCGACCTTTCAGCTTTTGGGTTTAGTGTTGTGAGCTCTCCTCTTTTTTTTAAAATGATATCAGGGCTACTCTCTGGATGCCTTTTTGCTATCATTAAAAAATTATGATCAAATACACGTCACATAAAATTTTCCGTCTTAACCAATTTTATGTGTACCGCTCAGTAGTGTTCAGTGTTTCACATGGTTGTGCAACCAAAACTCTTTCTGTCTCAGAAAGCTGAAACACTACACTTGTTAAAGAATAACTCCTGATTCTCTCCTATCCACTCCCCAGCCCCTGGTAACCACCATTCTCTTTTCTGTCTCTCTTTCGGCTGTTTTTATCAATTTTTATGAGAACATGAAGCTCACTCTTCTTCAAATTTTCGGTCTCTGATTTATCTTAATAGTCCTTCACTCATTCAGCACATTGATACTGAGTACACACTCTTTGCTAGACCAGGTTCTAGAGTGGGGGACACTGCTGTAAGCAAAGGCTATCTGGTTCCTGTCCTTAAGGAACTGACATTCCAGGGAGGAGAGAAAGACAGTTGACAAGTAAATGAGGGAACTGAGATCTGTGAAGACAGGGAGTGCCTGTGGGGGTGAAACTTTGGTCAAGGGGGGTCCCAGAAGGCCTTTCTAAGAAGTGATGTTTAGCTGCCCCTGGACTTGCATAAAAGACCTCCTCTCTCCCCATGTAGAAGAATGGGAGGGAGGAACAGCACAGAGAAAGACTCTAAGACTGTAGCAAGCTTGGCTCATTTAAGGAATGAAAAAAAATGCCAGCATGAATTGAGCGTAGGGAGCACTGGGGAGAAGGAATAAGATGAGGCCGGGCAGGCTCTTGGCTCTAGGCCAGAGGGGAGAGCCAGGCAGTTTAGATTGGATGCCAATTGCGATGAGAAGCCACTTGAGGCTTTTAAGTAGCAGAATTGTGTGATCTAACACTTGACATTTAAAAAAACCATTTTTGCAGGAAAATATACTTGGGTTAGATAGTACTGCACCCCCAACACCACGCACACATGTAAGCACATATACAGCTTTTTCCTGTGCCTGTTTTTTGCTTCCCTCAACCAGATTCCCCTGGGAATACCTCAGGACTGTTTGGGACACTTAGAGATTTTTCTTTAAGTAACTAGTGAAAAGGAGGACAGATAGGATGGCTTTATGGAACATCTGAGACCCTGAAATGTTGAGGATTAATTCACGAGTCAGTTTCCATTTCTGCCTAACTTTTCTTTATCATTTATCTTTACTCTTAGACTGAGAATAGCATCTCCAGAGTGTCAATCAGCTGAGTTGGAGACCAGTTTATTCTAATAATAGAATTGCTATGGGGTAAAGAAATCTGCCTCTGGTTACTCCTGTACCTGTTAGGGGGTATATAAAAATAATCTGCAATAACATATGACCCTTAAAAAAAATGTTAGAGTAGAAAGTCTTTTTTTTATGAAAATGTTTCTTGCTAGAATGGAATGAGTATGTCTGCCCTTCATGGTGGGGCTTCCTGCCATCTGCACAACCCGTCACTTCTGGGGGCATGGCCAGGCATCTCTTCTGAGCTATGTTCACTGTGTTGTTACCTGGCATTCACCCCATTTTGAGCAACTCTGTGGGATAAAATTTGACTTTGGTTTTTCATGTAAATATTTAAAAATATTTTTTAAGTTAAAAAGCAAGAAAACCATCTTTATCTGTCTTCGGTAACTTGGGAATTATTTCTGTTTAGGGTTGGAGAGAGCAATAGCCTATGATGATTCTGATCCTGAATATACAGAGACTAGTTCATCAATAGACAATCAGAATCTACACTTGGTGCTTTATTCAAAACAAGCCACCCTGTTTTATATTGGGCCCATTTTAAGTCTCCTTGTATTGTGAGGTACGGATATTTCATGAGCTATAAATGTTTAATTTGGAAAATACTTGGCATCATTCTAGGTCTTTATTTCAGAAAACATCCTGGGATGGCATGGGCCCAAGTCACATTCCACAGAGCAGATGAAAAATGGGACGCTTGGTTCTTTGCCATCAGCCAGTGCCAACATAACCTGGGCCATTTTACCAAACTCCGCGGAAGATGAACAAACCTTACAGCCAGAGCCAGAGGTAAGCGAGCGGTCCTCTCTTCGCACATTCACGGCTTGTATTATTGCTTGTTCATAAATATAGTAATTATATTTGTAACTTGCTCATCTCTTTGTTTTAAGAGGAGACAAATTATAAAATGGAAGAGTTGCCTGGAGAGACAAAACCAGCTGTGTGCATGCCTGGCACTTCTCTTGTTCTTGTGTCAGGCAGCTGCTGTGGGTGAATTGTGATCCTATGAATGAGGAATCTCCTGTTTCCATTGAAATGGGAGTCGTTTTAACTTCAAGTGAGAGAAATTCTAACAGTAAGAATCTAACATCTTATCTAACAATAAGATGATGCTTATTGACATGACGGGAGCAGTTACAATATATCATGTTGCTCTCCTCCGTAATGGCTCCTTCCTGTGGTTCCTGCTGATACAAGCTCCTGCCTCACACGCTCGGCTCCCGCATGCCCCTGAACCAGGCCCGTACCCATGGGCCAGCAGCCCAGGCTCCTTGTAGGCCCTTGTGCTGCAGCCCAGGTCCTGGCTGCAGAGGCTACTGGTCTGCCTTGTCACAGAGGAGCTACCCTGGGGATCTTGATGACCAGCCAGGCTCCAACAGGCTTCATGGACTCTATCATCTGCCTCCGGCTGGGCTCTCCTAACTCTGTCTCTAAGTGGCAGCTGGAAGGGAGCCAAATATAGGGTTTCCTTGTGTCTGTTTTGCTTTGTGTCATGAGGGAATTTTTCTTGTTTCCTTTCCTTCCCTCCCTCCCTTCCTTTCCTCCTTACTTTTTTCCTTCCTTCTTCTCTCTTCCCCCCCTTTCTTTCTTTCTTTTATTTTTTTTTGCAGTTTTTGGCTGGGGGTGGGTTTGAACCTGCCACTTCCGGCATATGGGGCCAACGCCCTACTCCTTTGAGCCACAGGCACCACCCATTTCCCCCCCTTTCTTTCTTTTTGGATGTACATGTCTTCTTGAGATAATCTCTTAAACCAGGTTGAAACCTCCTTTAACCATGTGTTCTTAATGTCAGTTGAGATCATTTTAGCCTGAAAATTGTGGAACACTCACAAAATCTGTTTTGTAATGTTGAAAGCCCCAAGGCAGCTTCTTTGATCAAATGGTCTTGGTTGTCAATTTCTTCAAGCTTCTCTTTCTGTGACAGTGACTTAGCAGCATAGCTCTTATAAAGGCAGATTAATCTGCCTATGAATGTCTCATTAGTGTCTTTAAGGTGCTTTAGCAGTAGGGTCTGAAGCAAATAGGGGCTGTGAATTTTTGAAAGGCATTTGGCCCGTATTTACAAGGAGTTTCGGGCTGAAAAAAAACAAAGCATGCAGCTGACGTGTCAGTGCATTGAAAGGTAAGTTGGCAACAGTGTAAATGGTAGACAAGTGAGTCATTAGATCTTTCATAATCATTTCCAGCAGCATTTTTAGGCTAATCTTACAGGGATTAGAAGCTAGTAAACTTACTTCTGAGGGTTGGTGATATTCCTTACTCTGTGAATCCTTCTTGGTGTTCCTTCTGCTTTTCCCTGATAGGGGCTTTCTTTGACCTTGAAGTTTGGAGGCTAAGTCTGTTGTTTTGACATAAAATTGTTGCCTACTTTGCAACAAAGTCAGCATTTGCAAAACATAATGAATAATTGTCCATAAGAAATAACTAGCTCCCATATTCAACTCTTAAAAAAAAAAATCCCTGAAGGAGAAGAATGAGCTGGATCTGGTTTTGTTAAGTTAGGGATAATCATTCATTTCTGGTTGTCATTTTTGCCCTTAATCCTTTTGTCAGAGCAATATAAGATGTTGTTTGATGTTGTTTGAGAGATTATAGAGTGGGTTGGTGTTTTGATGGTTTTTTGAGAAGGGAGAATTAGAGTCATTTTGCAAAGTCTCCCATCATTTTCCCAGCGACTACTCTGGTAGATGATTCTCAAAACCCAAACAGCTGGTGTTGGTTAGATGCTATTTTTCTTTTTAGCCCAATGTGCTTTGTTATATTTTTTGTCTTAATAGTTGAAGAAGCTAGCGATATCCACCTAATAGTTTTCCTGTCAGAAAAAAGAAAGTGTTTCCATGGCCTCCCTTCAATACAATTTGGAGAAATAACTGTAACGAATGAAGTGAAATTCCTAGAGGTTAAAAATTCCTTAGAAGAAGGTTCCTTAACCCTTTGATATAGAGAATATACTTACTTATTTAAGTGATCATTGGGGAACTGATTTTAAGTTAATTTGAATTGTAGTTATTATGGTACTTTAGTTAAATAAACTATTTCCTTCTCTTCATTATCTCAATCATGTTAGGTCTTTGTGGGGAAAAATTAGAATACAAAAGGTACCTTCCCTCTGTTGGTTCTGGCTTGCCGTAAAATAACTTATATCTCTAAGAATAATGCATTTTCAAGCTTAGTCTGTTTGATTCTCAGTGGAATAAAACTCAAAGAACAGTGTGTATTTAATACATGAGTTAAAAGAGAACTGTGGTTGGCTCTATTATTAAATGCAGTGATATTAAAATTTTATCCTGCTGGGGCTAGAACTAACTAAATGTGAAAATGAAATATTCTTCCCTAATGAAATGAGTTAGGATCTTGATTTTACCCATTAGTAGAATAATTTTCAACTCTCAAATACCATTTGAAACATAAGTGAAGGCAGAGAAGGGGTTCTGTTGTGCTTCTTTGTCAAATATGCCTTGTTTTAGGACCCGAAGGGTGGTCAGTGGGGTAGATGCTGTGGATTAGCTCTCTTGGCCTTCTTTTGACTCTGTTGATAGGAGATATTGGAGACCTAACAGGAGCATGTCCCAGACTTTGTTATAGCCAAATGTCTAAGTGTATGACAGTGCGGTGCCTTTGTATAAGTTTTGGAAGACCCAGTTCTGTCTGTTGGTGCTGCTAGCAGACAAGGTCATGGAGATCTGAGGGTTTAGAGGCTATCATGGTGGTCATGCTCATTGGTCTGGGACCTTAGTCCTCTCTGCGTAGGTGTGAGAAGCTGGTGTGGCAGCAGCGGCTTCCCAACCCTTAGACACAGCTGTCTCCAATGTGTGACTGTGAACTCACAGGTCCAAAGGGCCCCTGACTTTTGTTCCCCCTGCCCTTTTAATGATTCCATAGGCACCTAATTTCCATATCAAGTCCACTCCAATTGAAATACCTGGAGTGGTTTCTGTTTCCTGTGCTACATGATGGCTGACCAGGCTTTTGGCATAGGAGAGCACAGTGCGATACGGAGACCTATGTTGAATGACAGAGCTCACATGTGAGCACATGCACTCACCTTCCTGGAAGATACATCTGGGAGACAAAACCTCAACTTTTTTTTTTTTTTTTCAGTTTTTGGCTGGGGCTGGGTTTGAACCCGCCACCTCCGCCATATGGGGCTGGCGCCTTACTCCTTTGAGCCACAGGCGCCGCCCAACCTCAACTATTTTTTTACAAGTCAGGTTTATGAAGGCGTGATTCACAAACAATATATTTCACCCATGTAAAATTCAATTTTATCAATTTCAGCAAATCAAAAGGCAAGCTGAGTATCCCTAATCTAAAAGTCCATAGTGTAAAATGCCCCCGAATCTGAAACTTTTTGAGGGCTGACATAACACTCAAAGGAAATACTTAACTGAGTGTCTTGGATTTTGGAGTTGTGGATTTGGGATGCTCAACTGTGTAATGGAAATATTCCAATATCTTAAAAAAAAAAATCCAAATCTGAAATACTTCTGGTCCAAAGCATTTTGGATAAAGGATACTATACTCATCTTGTATAGAATTCCCCTTCCCCACAAAGATCCCTGTGTCCTTAATACTCAAATCTTCCTTCCAGCTTTGGCAACCACTGATCTGTTTCCTGTTCCTATAGTTTTGCCTTTTCTAGAATGGCACCTAAATGAAGCATAGTGTATGCAGGTTTCTGAGTTGGGCTTCTTATGCTTAGCATGATGCCTTTGAGATCCATCCATGTTGTGTGAATCATAGTGGCTCATCCCTTTTGTGTTGGCTGGAATCCATCGGATCTACAGTTCATTTATCCATTCACTAGTTGAAGAACATTTGGATTTGAAATATTTCCTCAATCCTCAATGGATAAGATGGAAAAAGAATGTCGAGTTAATTATTTGAGGCAATGTCTTGTGCACAGATGGCTACCCCGGCTTTAGGACAGTCAGTTCTATGAGTCTTGCTGCTGGAGACCCTAAGGGACAACCTTTTAAGGCTGTGCCTCAGAGCGTGCCATCACCTCCTGTCAAACTCTGCTGGCTGTCCTACTTAGAACTTTGCCTAGTTAATTGGATGGCAGTGGCAGCAGTACTGTCACAGGAACACAGACCCCCCCAAAATCTAGCAGGTTTAGGAAGACTTCTCATAATGTTTGTGTGCACTGAGCCCTAGATCAGCATGTAAGCAAAGCACGTGGACTTTGGTTGGAAATTTTTGTAAATAAACTTTTAAGTAAGCATGTCATAATATCCCCTTCCCAAAGGAAGCAAAATTGTTTTAAAAATAAAGGAGGGAGACTGATTTAAAAGATTTAGCTGAGTTCTGCCTTAAGAATTTTCATGCTCTTGGTTGAATTGTCATTTTAGCACTGAACTTTTGAACCACTTAACATATAAAGCTGTCAGTTGAAATCCTCTGACATTCAAGTTGAAGCCTGGCCGGTGTACGTCTCTTAACCCATTTTTATCATTGCTTTCTTCTTCATCTCCATGATATAGAAATGTGTAGGTAGATGTTGTTGGAGGATGTATCAGGTATGGGATGGTAATAGATATTATTTGAAGATAAACAAGGTAATATGTTGTTTTGATCCTTTAGATAATTCTTTTAACCTAATTTTCAATTGTACAGCATCATTCAGGATATTTGGCACCTATTTGTTGTCAACAGTTTGATCAAAGAGTGAGGCAGCTATCCCTGACTTAGAATGATTGAAAATCTTGTGATGACCTTCAACAGAGTTTTATTCCAAATGGTTGCTACATAGGAAATGTCATTGATCACATTTAAAATTTGTTATAAAT